GAATTCCAACAGGACTACAACTGCCACTCTCGACAAGACTGTGATCATTACTCCAACAGGACTGCGACCATCATCTAGACCAACGGGTTTTCCTTTCCTTCTACTTTGCACCCAAGGGGGTCATGTGGTGCTCAGCACAGGGGTTGACAAACACTGTTCTATTCTTTTCCCAGGGTGTGGGGTTATACATCTGTCTTTGGGGGTTAAAATCAGTTTTTCTCTGTGTCATTGTATTTATGGTAATATTTTTAGTAAATTGTAACTCTGACTTGTAATCTCTCTTGAGAAGGGTTCATTTCTCCCACCAGTATACTTTTAAACCAACACACATTGCTATTAATTAGATGCAACCTTTCTGTCGCATTCACTGCAGCTGTCTTGGGACAGTTATAAGATAAGTCTCAATGGCAGAACTGCCCTATGCAAGAATCTACACTAAGCTGAATGCCCTCTGCTATCCTAAGAGGGAAGCCCAGAAACCCTGAATGCTTTTCTTTCATTTACACACATTGTCCTGCCTTAAAAATAGCTAGGGGTTAGCATACTTGCAGAACTAAACGTGAGATTGTGCCATTTTTAAATTTCAGAGCAAAATTCTCTCCAACCTACTGAGCAGACTCACATTTCATCCTTCTCAAGCATCTGAAATGGCTTTTCCAACTGGAATGTATGCATGCATGTCTTAGAAGAGGTAAAACAAAGGCTCCCACCATTACGTAATTTTGAGTTGGAGTTAACACATTAAAAAGAAGAAAGCTGTTCAAAAGATATAAAAGGTTTCTATTGGCAGTATATCTTTTCATTTAACCTTTTTGGTTTTATACCGTGCTTCTGTTCACACAGATGCAGGGAGACCCACAGATGGGCACGGTGCTCCTGTGATACAGAGCATAGCCAGCAGAAAAATGAGCTTTCAGAGAGGGTTCAGTGCAAACCTGTGCTGTGTTATGTGTAACTCTCTGCAAATGATCCTTAATAGTCATGGAAATGAGTTCCATTTGGCATGAATCACAAGAACTGCTAAGTGAAGGCTTCTAAAATGGGCCTGTTAGGAAAGACAAATAATGAGCTGCTGTACTTTTTTTAACACTCATTAAAACAGGACAGCTGTTGTTCAACAGTTAACTGCAGGAAATAAATGCCAAGAGTCATAGATAACTGCAGGTAAGGCTACCTACCCTTTATCTGAGCAATTTGCATATCATACCTAAAGTATCACACAATCGAAGGTTGGCATTTTTTGAAAACTATCTCCTAATGACAGGTATCAGGTATGGCTGTCACTAAGAAGGTGGCAAATGGATCATATCAAGGACCCCAAAAATTCTCATGAAGAATTTCCAGCTAGGCAGGTGCATTATAGCTAAGATATCATGTTGTGTGCTTGTTTCATACCCAGTAGAATCACCACGGCTAGAACCTCTGGAGTGATAGTCCCTAAAGCATATGCAACAGGCTGCTCATAATCCCTTAACCACATCTCCCATGCCACATGAAGCTTCTGCTGCAGGTGAATAAACACTGCACCTTCTTGCTTTCATTGCAAGTCAAGTCTCTGTGCTGTTGAGGATTGCCTCCTTTACCTTCTTGGAGAATGACAAACACAAGGCTGATTTATCTTCATAATATATCAGCTTGGAAGTCCAGCTATAGCTGGAAGGCAAGGGCTGTGATTTGAATCCTCACAGGCAAGGGCAAGAACCACAGCCAGATCTTCTCAGCTGCTTATGCTCTGGACATCAGGGTCTTGAATTAGAGTGTGAGGGAAGAGGCAGCATTACCCTCCCAGCAGTTGTTACCAGAAGCAGCGGGAGCTCTGTTCTGCACGAAGCACAGTGTGCTCTGAGCGTCCTTTCTAGGTCAGACCTCTGAGGAGGGAGAGTACCTAGTTTGAGATGTTTGTAGATGTGCAGTAATGACTAAGCTATTCCTCCCTAACAAAACTCAGGCAGCTGAGGCAACAGAAAGCATGAATTTATAATCCAAGAAAACTTCATAGGTGTTTTTAGAGTGGGGCCAGGCATTTTGAAAATCATGTTCCTGGAACAAACTGTTCTTTAAACCAAAAAATTAAATTGTTTATAAAACTGGTGTGCCTTCACCCCTTAACAGTGCTCTAGTGGCTGTGTTTCAGGGCATGTCAAACAGCTCAGCTTAATCCTCGCTGATTTAAATAGTTGAGGGACAGTAAGGAAAGGCTCAGGGTATGACTTACTTTTAAGCTGAGACACTGGGTAATTTTATTAATTATTGGCTCAGACCAACTCAAGTCGGGGTGGGGGGGTTGGGGATAAAGGGAGAGGTCAAAGTTCATGGAGGAATGCCCTACCCCATATCCAAGCCCCTGAGAGCCTACTGGGGCAGCCCCAAAGCAGCTCTCAGACCTACCCAGCCCCAGATTGGATGGCACGGTGGAAATCCTGCCTGGGGGCGGGAACTGTGGCCACAGGGGCCATAGCACATAAAAGCAGCAACATGTGCTCTCCATTGGTTGGTTAGAACTCTCCATTTTCTGGATGCCTGTGGCTGGACCTATGCTGGTTCAAAGGCTGGTAGCTATAATTCTCTTTTTCTCTCTCTTTCTCTACTTCTTCTTCTTCTTCTCCTCCTCCTCATCTCCCTTCTTAATATTTTGGGTAGCTTGAGACCAGATGGGTTGGATTTTACTAAGTTATATGGGTTAGTATATGCTAAGTCAGTGCTTTGTGGAATACTTTATTTTGGTTGAATATTACCCTTTAAACTTTGCCAAGTACTCATATTTTCTAAAGCTTACTAGTAAAAGTACCTCCTGAGAAAAAATGCAGCTTTTCTCCTTTCTGCTCTCTTTATGGTGTTAAAACAACTGAAGGCTCTTCTAACAATCTGGAGGGTGAATATTGTCAGAACCTTTTATATTTTTAAAGTAAAAACCCTTCAGTGAGTTCATAGCTCGGGGCCTGGAGTCTTACAAGCTGCTGCAATTACTTCTGACTGCATACAGTTTGTATGAGAATTCATATTTTTGCCATCTCTGTCTTTTGGCAGATATTATTCCACCACTTGCTCATACTGCCTAAATGAAGTGGAGAAGAGGTACCTTTCATAAAGACCTCAAGAAAATAATAATGTTGCCATATAGTAGAGAATTTTGTGTGGAGGGAAACACCAGCATATAAGGCCCTCTTTGCTGTTATCCACCATATTTGACAATATAATCAAAACAGCATTGTTTAAGGAAAAAATTGTTTGAAGATTGTTTAAAAATTCTTTGCTATGACTCAGAAACCTTACCAACACCTTGGAAATCTTAAATTGGAATTGTAATGAAGGCAGTCTCACATATTCATATGTTAACATTGACTGTTAGCTTGTAAGAAAGAAAACTAAATGTAATTTACGAATATCTTTGTCCTTGCATGACCGCAAAACAGAATTAGGCAGAGTATACATTCACCATACACTGTGACCAAAAAACGGTCCAAACAAATATTCCAGACCAATAAACTGCTCTGTCTGTGCCTTAGTGTAATCAAAACATAGTTGAGTGGGCAGGAGCAAACGCTATGGCAGCTATCGGCGTTCTTGGGGAATAAATGCTCCAGAGCGAAATTCTCAGTTTAATTCACCAAAGTACATTAAGTCATCACTCATTAATCAAATGTAGTTATGCCTTCAATAGTATGCTTACAATGAATGCTTTTATGGGTTAAATAGCATTTTGGACCTGTTCAACATCAGATCTCCACAAATAAATTCAAGTCTCTTTTAATTTAACATTTGTGAGGACAGAGGAATTCCAACACACACATGTAACTTGCCACAGAAATGCAGGTGATCCAGACAAGATGCTATAAGAAGTATTTTCTTTCTTAATGATTTTAAGCTCAAAGGGGCTGTCATCAAGCAACCTATTAGCCATCCTGAAGCAACAAATCTAATCAACCTGAAGCATTCGGCATGAGAAGTCTGTAGAGTGTATGTTTCCCATGGGATTTGCAGAGTACAAAGATATTTCAAACCCAGAAAGATGCACAGCCATCCCAAACTTGTTTTTAAAGAACTGTCAAATTCACAGTCAATATTAACACATCCATTACAGGAATGAAACAGTTTTTTTCTAGCACGTGTAACATTCACAGGCAGTATGTAGTGCAGTATGGTAGGCAACACATAGCAGGAATAGGATTCAAAGTCCTGTTTTTGAAAGAGACTGAAACCTCTACAGAGCATATTAGACTATTCAGGTACTGTCTGAAGCACTCAGCACCACTCAGGGCCACAAATCTCATTGGGTACACCAATGAGAAAGGATGTTCCAAAACAGGAAAAAGAACATATTTCAGCCAGCTGAAACAGCTGGGCACTTAGAAAACTCCTAAAACCCCAAGCATCCAGGTTGCCTAAAACCATCCCTCCTCAGCAACAAAAAAACCTAAAAATACACCACCACCTGCATTAGGGGTAGTTTCCTCCCAGTTTGTTGCTACCAAACACAATCTATATGAACAAACCTCTCTCAGGAACAGTTGGGGGAAAGTTGCTAGCTCCTCATCTGTTTCATGGTACATGGCTGTCACATGTTAGGATAGGATTTGAACTCAGGTCTGGCACCAGCATCTTACGCTTCCAATCATACAAGTGATCTCAACCAGCAAACAAGTCAAACAAACAGGCCTCCAGCATCATACCTTTGGGAATCACAGTGAGTAGGAAATCCTACTTGCTAGTCAGAACATCACTTTCATGGACAAATCTATCCTATCACTGTCTATCCACTGCACAAATGACAAATGCATTGCTCAACATGACTTAGAAGTGACACAGCAGTGAACCCAGCAAGTGTCAATTTTTCTGTTATGACACAACATATTTGGTTTTCACTCTAGAGGGAAAAGCTTACAGCAGCAATAGCCAGCCTGAACATTCTGTAGGATGTATATACACTGTCATACTCCATGACAATGTATTAGGCAGTGAGGAATGAAAAATCTCTACAAACTGCTTCTATTAAACCATACCTTGTTGCTAACTGCAAATGTGATCAGTCTGTGTTGACATGGCAGCATGCGTTTTCTAGCCTTATTGGACTTGTTTATCCCAAGTTCATTTGCACTGCCTCATCTGCTATAGCAAGTCCCAGCAGATGGCATTGTGTTACAAGGAAACATTACCCTGGTGCCAGTTGCCTTTCTCTCAGCTCTAGGAGTTCAGAGGGGAGTTTTGAACTTCTCTTTCCTTGAGCATATTCTTACTTTCTTCTTGCTCCTGTCGTTTTGCCAAGCCTGGCATATAGTTACAACATTTCAGCTGAGTGGAAATACAGAGGAACAAAGCCACAAGGAGATAGGAAAACTTTATGTGATTTTTATCTTCATTCTTGTAGCTCTCTTTCAAAATACCTCACCTCCCTTTGCTCCCCAAGGCCAGAATAATCTTCATGTCAGCCCTGGCACTGTATACAACAGGCTGATAATAACTGTCATCTCTCCTGATATGCTGTGGTCTTGTCTTTTCTAGGAGACGGACACTAAGGCAAGAGTAAATTCAGTGCTGAAATATCTCTGAATGCAGGTGCCAGTGAGACATAAAAGGTTTAAGCACAGGCATGTGAATGCAGTTGTCTGTAGTTCGGTGAGAAATAATCCAGAATGGCAGATTGAAACAGTGGGGGTTTCCAGACCTATTAAATAATGAGAGCTGGGGGTGCAGGTACGGCAGCCTCTCAGAACTGTTGTAACTGCTAGCATTAGTATTCAGTTCATCTTCATCTGCCCTTCCATCCATTTTCCCAATTCCCTGCTGATCCAGCTCTTTGTCTTCAGGACTTCTGCATGGCTGGCTTTGTTCCTAAGATTAGAAATCATATCATGCAGATGGAGCAAAGCCGTGCTGTGATTCAAGGTTACAGAGGTTACAACAGTCCTTAGCTCAGTCCATGCTCTTGTATGCTACTGAGTCATGCTGAACTGTTGTGCCCAAGCATATGAAGCTGGACTTAGAAGTATGAAAATCTGGTGATGTCCTATAATGCAGTAGTTCAGGGCCATAAAGGTCTTGCCAGTGTGAGATATAATTCCCTCATCTTTATTACAGAGCTGGTGACCATGAAGCAACTAGCTCCCTAGTGACTGTAGCCAGGTAAAATCAATGAGAAACAGGCATCAGCAAAGAACTGGAATAAGTGGAATCACTTAAAAAGGAAGATATTTGAGTGTAATCAATCTGTTCAACTGTGGAAGATGCATAAAAACAATGAGATCAAGTTAATTCTGGTTCACTAAATAGAGCTTCTTCAGCATCTGCTTTGCTTAGTACCCTGCTAGTTTGCATGCCTGGCTGTATCAATGCATTTATACATTTGAGAGCCCTTATTCAATATGTCACTAACTGTTCCCGGTTTAATTGCTGGAAGGGCACCGTTTCTGTGCATGAGATTCTGACTTTTCATAATTACTGACACGAGCAGGACTCTGTCACTCTGTTGCTTGCAAAAGAGCTGGCATTTCAGTACCTTTTTCCTTGCGCTTTCTATTATCCAGTCACAGTCTGATCATTATGTAATCATGTTGTGTGTGTGTGTGTGTGTGTAAAGAAACATCACTACTGTGCCATAAGAAACCTGGAGAGCCTTTGCTCCTGATGGAGTGCACTGCTGACGGCGTCGGAGCACAGACTCGGCAGCGACTGGCCAGACGTTTAAAAAGTCGGTCGGTTTTAGTCTCGGCAGTGCGGGCAGCCTGCTCCGTCTCTTGTGCCACATGCTGGCAAGAGCCGCGAATTACAGCTTCCCAAGAACAGAGACGTTGTCAGCGGGTAGCTGGAATGTGGAGCTCAGGCGCTCAGGGTGGTGGGAAAATCCTGTGAGCAGAGGTACGGGAGGATGTGCTGGCACACCGCCGAGCTGTGCGGGACACCTTGCACCCACAGAGCTCACATCCGACACAGCTGATGCACTCCAGTGTCCGCACTGTGCTCTGCAGCGCGCTGGCAGGATGTAGTTGCTCACATGAAACACTAGAGTACTATATTTTTCTGGGGCCTGTGCAGACTTTGGCTGGCTCCTTGGAGGCCCACATGTCTGTGTGGTGCTCTCTGTTCTGGTGCTGCAGATGGTCATGGCTTAATCTCTTGGGTTGTACGGGCTGTGGAGGAATGCTTGTGTTTTCCATTCTTCAGTTTCCTCCTTTGAGGCTATGCATTGCTTTCGAACAGGATTTATCACAAGCTGAAGGGGGCCACCTCTTTTCAAAATCTGTGCAGTATAGCATTTTTATATTTCACAGATCAGCATCTGAAACAGATAAATAAACATAGTGTATTATTAGCAAGTGCTTGATATGCTGGGACTTGGTCCAGAACCCACTGAAATTGGAATTTTTCCCTAGGCGTTTAGAGAAAATAGTTGAGGGGAAAAAAATCAAGATTAAGTCTAACATTTGCTCAGTGTCTGTGACATGCTGTGTCACTGAGCTATTTCCTAACTGATTAGCAGGTTCCCAAATCAATGTGGAAAAGGCACATACAGGGTTGATATCAAAACCTTCTCTCCCCTCTCTAAGCTGTAAGCGGGTAAGGAACACAACTTGCTAGTTTGCAGCCTCCTTACCAGACGAGTAGTCACAGGAATTCACTAGAGAGACATTTCTTTCCTCTCCCTTCTTCTTAAAGTAATTTTTTTTGCAAGGACATAAGGCCATGAATGATTACAAGGGGATAGGTACCAAGTGCTGCAGGTGAGGAGAGAAGGTTCATTGCACCAAGTTTCCAGATGTTATAACAAAATAGTTTTCAAAAATCCTCATACAGCTCCCTACTTTGACTCCATTTCTGATATGTGAAAGATTGAACTGAGCTTTGAGTAGCACCAAAAGACAAAATTCAGTGTTTTGGGATGTAAGAAGAGGCAACGCTAGAGGAAGGTATTAGGTTTTTACTTAAAGGAATATGTGGCAGCTGAGAGGTAACAGAAATTCTGGTACAGTGAAGGGACTGTTTCTTTAAGATGTACAGATGATTTTTCCCCACATAATATTCCTCCCACGCACATAATATTCCTTGCACACACACTTGTAAATAATCTGCACACCCACAGCCTTCTTGGTAGCCAGTTAGATGTCACTAGCTAGGGTTAACGTCTCTGCATCCTCCTCTCCTGCACTGGGCTTCAATACAGCTCTCATCCTCCCTAAAATACTTTGAAAGCTGTAGGTGGGCAGATCACAGCCAGGGTGTTTCTCCTTCTTTACTTTCATGATCTCTCAGCTTGCACAAAAAAATTTGGTGGCAAAGAAGAGATGAGAAGGAAGAGCAAAATTGTCAGCAATTCACTTTGCTCTTTACCTCATCTTTCAGCCCGTGCCTTCCTTTCCATCTTCTGTTTCTCACCTCTGTTTGCTGATAAGCACATAAGTGGCTAATGGTGAATATCTTGTCGTACTCAGTGCTGAAGGTCAGGGTCACTCATGGGGTTGCCCACAGTAAAGCATTTATATGTGCTAGAGCCACATATGTGCTTTATGCTCCTTGTTCCTCCTGTGTGTATCACAGCAGGATATCATTTCAGCAAAACTCAGTCAACAGGAACAGGGAAAAAACCCTCTTTATTCTCTTGCTAACGTTTTTGCTTCATAAGCTCTCTGGGGCAGGGACTATGTTTTTTATTATCTGACTGGGAGGAAGTGGCCTTGATTTCTCAGGTAGCTTTAGACACTAAAAAAAGAACAAATACTGAACATCAGCAACCTTACAGGTATGGACAGCCAGAGGCAGCAGGTGTTCACCTTGCACGACAGGTATGAAACATGTCCTCTAACTAAATGTAAAAATCCTTAGCAGGAGGCGGCTGACAATGAACAATCCCAGGAAATTCATGTTTCATGTTGAATTTAACCTAATGCCTGCTGGGAAAATTCAGTGAAGGTGATAGCACTTTAAAACTTGCAGTGCCAGGTGGTTATGGTGTGGTGGTGCATTCCCTCTCCTCTTCCTCCTCCTTCGGCTGCACCGTGATCTCAAGAATGCTCATGAGGCCTCAGCCTCGATGAACAGCACCTGGGCTAAGCCCCTCTTGAGCTTATCAGAAACACTGTCTACTCCCAGGAACTTCAGCTGTCTAATGAGATTCTGATTTTTAACAAACAGCCTTGGGAACTTCTCTTGCCTGAAAAACAACCCAAGTGGAACAACATTTTTGTTATCAAACTTCCAAAGAAAGTTACTGACCCAAATTGTGGCCAGGATGAAAAATTACTATGACTAAAGCCAACTCTCTTGTGATTCTATAAACAGTGGTCCTTAGTGAGATCCTCTAAGCTCTCCTGGACCACAGCAGGTTGCAACCAACAATCTTTCTCTGAGTGGGACTATCCTCAGACCTAGTGGACTCTCAAGTTTGCAATACTCGAAGGACCGCCACCAAACGCCGAGGACAGAGCCTGGGCTGATACAAAGGCATCCTACACGAGTCCTTCACTGAATTTGAGGAGAATTTTTCACAGGTATGTACTTTGTACATACTCTTTAGCTCTGTGTGCATGCGAATGTGAATATGCTGTAGCAAATGTACTATGAAGGTTGCTCTCTTACATTCTTAAGTACATTAGATTTGTAACTAAGGTTTATAAGTGAGTTACTTATAGGTTTATAAGTTTATTACTGTTGTGTTATAGCAAATTCTATATGACTCTGTTGCTAAATTGTTTAAATTAAGCTACTCATTAAGTGCTGTTAAGTGCTGTTGAACCTTTAGGTCTAAACTGTTGGTCAAGTCAGGGCCTAAGTTCAGCAAGGGAGTCCACTCTGAACCTTGTGACTCAGTGGGAGGGTCTCCTTTATTCCTTTTTATCCTTACCTTTTCCAATCCATTTGCTTCCCCCCACCCCTCACCCTGCCTTTCCTATCCTTACACTTCCCCAACCTCCCCTCAGCCTCCATGTAAATAATTTTTGGGTTGATTTTGGTTTTAGATTGATTGATTTCAGATTTTAGTTTGCTTTTCCTCTGCGTGCTTTAACCATCTAGTAAGTAGTAGAGTGAACCTTGCCAGTGAACTTTGCTGCGCTTTCACTTTTATATTAACCCTGCTTTAGCTGTTATCTTTGCTGTGATTCTTTAAGCAACCTAAAACACTCATTCTCTACATATGGTTACCAACATGATGCACCTCACCAGCCACTTTATATCTCTGTTTTATATTTCTCTACTTTTATTTCACTCATTAGAGTAAAATAAAATGACTTTACTCTGAGCCATTTTCCAAGAGGAGCTACTAACTGGATGGGAACAATAAAGTCACTTGTGTATTTCCAGCCCTTCTGAAAGTGCAGGCTGTTTCAAAGCTCATCCTGCTGCCAGGCCACCACTCATTGCATGAGTTCTTGTGCTGTAGCAGAGTGGGACAAGATGATCACAAGAGGACCCTATTAACATAAATAATTCTGTGCTTCTGTGAATACCTGATTAAGTATTTCAGATTAATTTGGCTGCTTATTCAAATGCTTTCTGGCACTGTTCCCAGCGTGGTGGAGCAGCAGAGAGCACAGACCCTGGTCACAGAGTAGTTAGGGTTGGAAGGGACCTCTGGAGATCATGTAGTCCAGCCCCCCTGCCAAGGCAGGGTCATCTAAGGCAGGTTACACAGGAACACATCCAGGTAGGTTTTAAACATTTCCAGAGAGGAAGATTCCACAACCTCCCTGAGCAGCCTGTACCAGTGCTCTGCCATACTCCCTCACATCCTTGGTGTGTTGTGGAGTTGCCCCATGGCCATGCCTGGGGGAGGCCCCTGTGCCTGGCCATCTGCATTGTAGCCCTTCCACGGGAGTGACTCCTGGCCCAGGGCCTGTCAGCTGAGGAGAAATGGCTGGGACTCAGGTGAGCAGCACCTGTGGCCTTGAGCCCTTCCTCAGCACAAAGGGTCTGGGATAGGCTGGGGCAGCCCAGGTGTGCCCAGGATGGAGGGCTCGGCGCTCACCTGTGCCACAGTGGGGTGGGTTTGTTTTTCCTCTGACTCCTGAGCACTGCCTGTCAATGGGGGGGAAACAGCACTGAGGAAAGGCCAGGAGGGAGGTTTGAGCCTGGTAATTTCTCCCCTCTGGACCCAGCGAGGGCCTGGCTGGAGAATGAGGACATTTGAAGGAGGGGCAAGGTGCCCTGGCCATGAGGGAATTGCAGCGAAGCTGTGCAGCCCAGTGGGCTCGGGGAGGGCCTCCAGGGCCCTTTCCACAGGAAAGGTGGGGGTGTGAGCCCGGTGAGTCACAGGGAGAGCTGCCACCTCTGAGCAGTGGGGACCTGTCAGCTGCAGCCCTGCAGAGGCCAAAGGGGCCGAAAGGTGCGGGGATGCAAGGGTTGGTGCCATGGCTGAGATGGTGTGAAGGGCCCTGTTCTTCAGAGGCCGTGGGTACAGGGGCACAGCTGGCTGGGCTGGCAGGGCAGGTTCAGCCATGCGGGCACAGCCCCGGAGCCTGCGGGCAGCGGCCGATGGGGCCAAGAGCACCTAATGTCACTCGCAGCAGCTGTTGAAAGTGCTGGTGCCCAGCGTCCGTTGGAAGATTCTAGTGGCTAGAAGGTTCTGGAAGGCTCTCAGCAGTTTTGGCAGTTGCCACAGCAGTTGCTGCAGCACTTGAAGGCTGCTCCTCTAGCCTGGCACCTGCGCTCTGGCTGTAATGGTAACTAAGCCGCACCTCCTTTTCCCCTTCCCCCAGCCCACACCAGCTTTACTGGGAATGCCAGGGTTTGACCCCAAACCAGGGACCTGAGGAAGTTTTGCGGCTGTAAGTGACCCAGCAGGCACCGCTGCGGGGTAGAAGCTGCTGGGGAAGGAGTGGGTGTGTTACACAGCAGGGCTGGTGCCAGCAGGAAATCCACTGAGAAATCTTTGCTGGCTCAGGAGGGCCCTGTGCCTCCCACTGTTGGAGACTGGGGGGTATCCAGGAAATTACCACTGTGTGCATGGCCTGTTCTCAGTTTATTGCTGCGCCTCCTCTTTTGGCCACTGTCAGAGGCAGGGGCTGGGCTAGAAGGACCTTTAGCACATGTTGTATGTAATTTTAGGAAGCTCTTTGAACTGCTCTCTCCCTGAACATCATGGCATTTTTTGACAGCCTGAGTGCAGGCCACCTGTTGCAAAAGGAAAGGAATATGTATGTTAAACCGTATAACAGATCTAGTGGCCTGTGCCATACCTGTATTTTTTAACATACACCACGAAGTCCTAGACAATTTACGGACCCATTTGAGTTTCCATGCAGAACCAGTGTTGAAATAAGGGTACTTAACTGAGCAGATGTTGTGTTTTAAGACACTTATGATATAACAACTGAAAGGCACTATGTCTATACCTTGGATCAAGTCCAGGCAAAAATAATATATGCCACACTAGCAGCAGTCATGCCTGTATTTCAGGAAATCTAAGTTTTCTCAGGGCTAGCTTCGGAATCGCCCCAAATTGTTGCTATATGATAAGAAAAAACAAACTAAGATGCCAAGCCAAAGTTTTACAAGTGAAAACCTAATTAGAACAAATAATTCCTACAAATTGATGATTGCAGTTTTCATATGCACATTTTTATCAAAAATAAGGAAATTTGAAATATGAATTTTAGTATTTTTGTGAGTTCTCTTAAGACTCTTTGCTGTCATTGTCTGTGGTAAAGATAGGGCAATGGTGAGTCATAGTCATAAAAGGTAGATTGTAAGACCACTTCCGATGAAAAAGATTTGTATGCATAAACTAGAAGTAATAGGGGAATCTGTGTGCTTCTTTCCTAAGTTTGAGGTTCTGCTTTGCACTGAGTGAGTTTTAAGGTGGAAGAAGAAAGGAGGATTTCTTATAGATTTCTTTCATGGTGTGTAAATAAGGACATTTTAAGGTATGTGAATATGGTCATTCCTTTTTCAGTGTTATTGGGGACCTTGAGATTTGTGACACAAGTGATTATCTTTTAACCTCAAGGGCTGACAAAATTACACAACTGAGGTCACTGCTATATATTAAGATGTGCACTGTAAGGTACAGTACACTACATTTATAATCAGTATGACTTGCTGCTATTTACCATCAATAAAATGCTGGAATCAAGACTCTGGTTCTTCCAGTGGTGATAGATAAGCTCAGTCTACTGGTTGCTGTGCATAACTAAGAGTTAGGACTGAAGATATTAATATTTTTTTAATACTTGCATTAAGACAGTCCTCTGTCATATGTGGGATTGTTAGAGTTGTCTTATTTTAAATTCACTAGAGTCAAGCACCTAAGCTTTTGCTTTTTTGATTCTGAGGGACAGCGTAGAAAACTGATGCACAGATTTTCTGGCCAGACTAGAAATAGAATGTTTTCCAAAGGCAAAGGAGGAGATGAACGTGCTCGAGATGACTGAAAAATTGTTGCATGCAGGCATGCTAGGATCAGAGTCCTAGGACTAGCAGGCTTAATTCACATGCAGTATGTACTGCAAAAAGTACACACATGTCCTGAAGTGCTCCCGAATTGCCCTAGGAAGATGGTGGATAGGAGCTTGCTGACACTAACAGAGGCTGTCTTCATGGTTCTCAGGAATGAAGAAAGGTATCAGGAGCAGGTTATAGGCCAAAATAACCTTAGGAACACAAAGATGATTAGAGGGCTGGAGCAGCTCTCGAATGGAGACAGGCTGAGAGAGCTTGGGTTCTTCAGCCTAGAGAAGAGAAGGCTCCAGTGTGACTTCACAGCACCTTCAAGTACTTAAAGGGGACGTAGAAGAGAGCTGGAGAGAGACTTTTTACAAGGGAATGTAGCGACAGGACAAGGGGGAATGGCTTTAAACTGACAGAAGGCAG